TTAAAAACAAAACAAAAAACCCTTGGCATTTGTCAGACTAAAACCATTTTTCTTTGGTCTTTGCACAACCGTCCTTCCCAGATCTGAATAAATAACAGCAAACAAATTCCCCCGAATTGATCACGCTCTGCAGCCAAACCACCGCAGGGCGTTGCTCTGCCCACAAACACCTTGGGGCACCCCAAAAGGTGGCCACCTCGCCTCCCGAGGGGCAAACCCAGCCCCAGGCCTGATGGCCACCAAGCACCGGGTCCTGGACCCACACAGCTGATGCTCTACACGTGCACAAACCCCAAACCAAAGATAAAACCAAGCTGCCAGCTCGTGCTGCCTGCCGGAGCGATGAATTTTGAGCCAAGCAGCTCAAGGCCAGCAGGAAATTCACCCTTTCAAACCAGGGACCCCTCGTGCAGAAAGGCTGGCGCTGCAGCAGCTAGGACGAGGAAAGGCTCAGACGGAGAGAGAAAGCAGGGAAGGAATTAGTTCAAATTAAAGAAAGGAGCAGGCACAGTAAACAAAACCGCTTGTGCTGCAGTACCGAGTCCCCATCAGCCGACGAGCTGCCCAGACAAATACGACAATTAAGGCAGCGAAGGTTACTGGGTTAGGACAAATTGTGCTTTCCGCAGGAGGTTTCAGCTGATGGTTTCTCTGCATTTGCTGTGCCCGACTGGGTTACCCACGGGTTACCCACGGAGCTGCCCTGCTCCAGCCGAACTCACAGCCCCCAAGCCCAGCCATGGTCCTAAATGTGCCCCGATCCCCGCACGAGCTGCTCCAAGCCATCACACCCACCCACGAGGGGCCTGGGACGAGCCGCCGCACGGACAGGTGATGTTGATGCCGTGGATATCCTCGGACAGACACAAACAAACCACAGGAAATTACCGCGAGTCGCTCCCTACAGAGGCAGCGGGGTCACGAAGATCGGGGTTTGCTTGTTTGCTTTAATATGAACTGAGAAATTGTGGTCAGCAGCAGGCCTTTTCCCTTCCCATCTTCCCGAAAATTCCACCCACCCCTCCACGTTAAAGGCACCTCCCGAGCCAACCTGCTCACCCAACGTCTGAAAATTGTGTTTCTTCTTCAGAAAAGCATTCGTAGCTAGAACAGCCCCTCTCCCCACCGCTCTCGTTCCCAGAACTGAGAAGACCCCAAATTATTCCTCACACCTATGGGGGAAAACGGGGAACGCCCAGTCCACAGAGCGCAGTCAGAGCCTTGATCTGCGGCCAAGGAGTGGGAAATTGGGGCTGGCGAAATGCATGTGAAAGAACCTTTTTTTATATATATATAAAAACCTCATAGTTTCAGCTAAAATACTAAAAATTAAAGAAGAGCTTCAGTGGCACTTCTGAAGAATTAAAAAAAAAAAAAAAAAGGCTTTGGAAGCTTTAGATTTGAAGCTTCACAAGCTTCTTATGAAAAATGCAAGCTTTGAAAAACTTCTGAAGATTTAATGTTCTTACTTTGGGCTCTCCTACTGCCAACGAACTATGGATGCTGTAACTAATAAAAAATAATTAATGTCAATAAACAGGCTTTTCAGAAGGCCTCAGCTTCTCTTCCCCATCAAAGACTCGAGCCATTCATCGGGACGTTATGCTGGAGACAAAATCCACGGGGCCCCCCTCTTCTCTGTGCCCGGTTCTTCTGCCCTAACACTTGCCATCAAAACCTTTTTCTGGATACTTTTAAGCGCAAGGAAATGAATCAAGACTTGTTTTTCTCAGCACCCAGCTCCAGAGGCAGCCCCCACACCCCCAGAAAGGGTAAGGGTGTTTCGGAGAGGCGTTAGGAATGGCTCAGTGCACGAAGCGAGCAGGAGCAGTGCCAGGCCTCGTGGTTGGGCGCACCACGGTCATACCAAAGGGCAAGAGCAGGAAAGCTGGGAAAGAAGATCAACCCGAAACCTCTAGTGACACATCCACCCATGCTCTGCAGGCACTGCACAAACAAAATTTATTAAAAAAGAGAGAGAGAGAGAGAGAGAGAGAAATACAGGATCGGTGAAAGGAAGCAATTAGGCAGCAGAATTTTCTATCACGGGAGGCTATCGAGACGAGAGCTTGGATAAATTAGGCATTTTGTAATAAAAAAGAGTTCCCAGAGCTTTGTTAAAACCACACAGGGCTGCGGGGCACCAAGCACCTCCCGCACCCAGCAGGGTGGGAAGGAAACCGAGCCCCGGCCCCGCGCTCACCCTGCCTGAGAGGGATGCCAGAACACCTCCTGTACACAAGAAATTCTCCAGATTTAAAGTTTGAACACGAGCTAACAAACGCCAGGGATGAAAGAAATCCCGGGATGAAAGATCTCCATGACACCTGCTTTGAATAAAAAGGCACCGCTGCAAAAAAATATCAGAGACCTGCTGGTCTGGAGCCTTTGCTCCGTGCCGCTCCCCAGACGTCGATTTGGGAGCGATGCGCACAAAAGCGGCGTTACGCAGCTGACACGCCATTCCCCGCACACAAAACCCACCCGGCGCCGCTGCCCGAAGCACTGCTGAACCAAAGCCACCTCCTCCGTGAGGGGACGTGGTCGGGGATTCAGGGATAAGGCACACGGCTGTGGTCATCACCGCCTTGCGCGGCTCCTTCCAGCGCCTTCGCCGCAGCTCGGCTTTACCAGGCGCCCCCAAAACCCAGAGCCGTGAAACCAACAATGCCAACACTCGGGCACAACAGTGGGGTGGTTTATCCCAAATTTGTGCATCCTTCAGACTAAATCCATGCTCAACACATGGATGCTTAAACCAAGCAACTGCCTCTGCTGCTCCCAACCTCGCCACTCAGCTCCCAGCACCAGGAACGCAACCCCTATGGGATGTTCACGCCGCGAGGACACGCAGGAGCCTTCACCAAACGCACTTGGTTTTACACCACACGTCTTGTCAGCTCGCTGACCACCTGCCCGGATGCCCAGGTAGCGATGATGAAGCCAACACAATCCGCGCTAGCAGGACACAAAGACTCAGCACCCAAAAAAAAGGCCCAGCCCTCGCCCAGGTGAGGAGGCAGGGCCTGGCACGTCGCAGGTGGATCGCATTGAAATTATTTTGCTCCCAACTCTCCAAATACCTTTCTGCGAACGCCCTCACAGAGCCAAAAGTGCTGTTTTTGAGAGGCAACAGCAATTCTGCTGCATTTGATGCTCACTCCACCTGCCTCGCCAGGCCAAGCACAAAGCTGGCGACCGCGGTGTCCACGCAGGACTCGGGCAAAGCCGGGAACTCTCCTCCCCGAGGAAAAGAGCATTTCCCAGTGTTGCCTGTGACAGGGCATAAACTTTAAGGGGACCATTTGCTGGGGAAATCAGCAGGGCTGGAATGGAGCTGCTACTGCTCTGGCCACAACAGGCAAGGTGGGTTATATCTGCTACCCTGCCCGCCAGTGATCGCGTCCTACACCTGGGCTGCCGGCCCGAGCCGCGCTCCTTTGTCTGGCCATACTTCCTCCCCAGGCCTCCCCCTGGCTTTGCAAACTCGCCCAAGTCTTCCCAACACAGAAAGGGAGAAGATAACGCCAAAAACACCCACCAGGCATCGACCCCACCGAAAACACCGCCCTACGCAGCCGCGCTCGCCGGCAACCACCCGGCCACGATTCTCTCCCCCTTTTTATCCCCCACCCCGATCCAAAGGACTTCTCACTGACCATCCCGCCAGGGGAGACAGGGGCTCTGCTCCACAAGACAGCAAGCAAAAAAAAAAAAAAAAAAAAAAGACGAAAACGCCCCAAGGCCCCCCCGCGCCCCCTGAAGCAGAACGAGGGGCAGGGGAGGGCCGGCGGCTCCCCTTCGCTGCCGCCTTTCATTGCTGCTGAGCCCTCGGACTGGCTCCCTTTATTCGCAGCCGGATACGCGCTTTCAAAGATACTGTACTACTGTGTAGGCCGACCGGGGGACTCTCTTTTCTTCCCTTAGTTAGAGCTTTGGGGAAAATCATTATCCGCGAAGGCAGAGAGGCGAATCAATGCAGCTTTGTACGGGCCGGGGACCCGCAGGCGCTGCCCAAGGCCCCGCTCCGCCCTGCGCCCACCCTCCCCACGGGCTTCACGCGCTCCCACAGCGACAGCCGAGACCCCACGGCCAGGCTTCAGCCCCTTGAAAGGAAAAAAAATGCATATATACACACACAAAATAATAACAGCGATAGTAAAATAACAATAACGGGAGTAATGAGCAGCGTGGCGTGGAGCGCTGGTGCAGAGCGAGGTTTGTTCGCCCAGCAGGTTGATTTATGGAGCGGACTCGAGGCGCATCCAGCCCTGCTCCTTACATAATTGCCGCCGGTTCCACAGCTCCGCTCCTTTTGTCAAACATTAAATTTGCCACAAGTGCTTCGCCCGCAATCGCCGCAGCCCCAGCCCCGTACCTGGCCGGCACCCGGCGCGGGGTGCCAGGAGCCAGCCGGGGGCTGCCTTTGTGGGTTTTTTTTTTGGGGGGGGGGAACGGGGGAGGTGGTGATGGGCTTGGGGTTTATTTATTTTTATTATTTTTTTTTTTTTGGCTCTGTAATTTCTGTGGTGCTCCGCGAGCTGGCGGCCTGCGGGGCTGGGGATGGGAAGGGAAGGGATGGGGAATGGGAAGGAGGGAAGGGATGGGGGAAGGAAGGGATGGGGAGGGAAAAGGAAGGGATGGGAGGAAGGAAGGAAAAGAGGGGAAGGGAGGGAAAGGGAAGGGAAGGGAAGGGAAGGGAAGGGAAGGGAAGGGAAGGGAAGGGAAGGGAAGGGAAGGGAAGGGAAGGGGCCAGGCCGGGCAGATGGCTCGCTCTGCAGACAATGAGGCGGGCTCCATCCTGCCCCCCGCTGCCCCCTTCCCCTTCCCCCCGGCTCCGGGGGCCGCTCCCCGGCCCTCCCATCCCCGCAGGCCCCGCGCAGTGCGGGCAGGCCGCGGCCCCCTCCTTCCTCCCCTCCTCCTCCTCCTCCTCCTCCTCCTCCTCCTCCCCGGGGGTCTCTCTCCCCCCAGCCCCCCCAACCCCCCCACCCCGCACTCACCTCAGCGCCGGGCCCGCGAGGGAGGAGGAGGAGGCGGCGGCGGCTCCTCAGGGCCCGGCGGCGGCCGCGTCCCCCCCCGCCGCCCCTCTCAGCGCCGCTCCATGCGCGCAGGTGGAGGCGCCCGCCCCTTCCCTCCCCCTCCCTCCCCACCCTTCCCCTCCCCTCCCCGCTCGGCCGCCGCCATTGTTCCCCCGGCCGCGGGGCCGCGCCTGGCGGAGGGCTCGGGAGCGCGCGTGGGGAAGGGAAGGGGCAGGGAGGGGACGGGACGGGACGGGGCGGCCTCACCTGGTGCTGCCCGTGCCGCCTCCTCCTCCTCTTCCTCCTCCTCCTCCTCCTCCCGGCCCCGCTGCAGCCGCCGGGGCCCCGCCGGGGAGGGGCAGCATCGCCGCCCGCCGCCGCTCCGCACCGCGGCGGGGCCGCTGTGGAGAGGGAGAGGAGGGAGGAGAGGAAGGGAGAGGGAGGAGAGGGAGGGACCGGCGGGGAGGGGAAGGCGGCGGCGCCCCCTCAGTGAGGGGGGAGAAAGTTTGGGGGGGGTGGTGAAGCCTCGGCCCCCCCCCGGGTCTGTCAGGGGAAGGTGAAGGTGGGGGAAGCCCTAAGGGAGAAATAGGGGAAGGGGAGAGGGGTGTGAGGCCGCCGGGGGGTGGAAGGAGGGAGCTGTGGGTTACACAAAATGCCGCTTTTCCACCTGGGAACCAGGCCAAAAAGTTGCTTTAGGATTCAGTCACGGCATCACCTGGACGTGATCCTGTGGGATGTGATCCTGTGGGACGTGCTCCAGCTGCTCCTGCTCTGGTCCCCTCCAACCTCGGCCTACTCTGGGAGTCCCCAGGTTAAAGCACCCAGCGCTGGAGTCCTCGCCCCCAGGAGATGGGGCGCACACAGCAAGGAGCAGCAGCGCTCAGCACCTCCACCCTAACACAGCCCCACACCGAGCAATGAACCCCTCTTGTCCCTCGCTAGCAGCTGTGCCACGCTCTGTATCCAAACACAGCTCGTTCCTGCTGCCCCTACTCAAAGCACCGTGCCCTGCTGGAGAGGAGGTGAGCGATGGGGCTGGGGCCAGGGAGCGAGCCCTAAGCCCAGCAGCACCATCCCGTCCTACTCACAGCCACGGCTCTCCCCTCCCAGCAGCAGCCCGGGGCTGTGGAAGGTGCAGAGGTCGGCCCCTGCAGCTCTGCTCTCTCCTGTAATACCATACTTAATTTCACCCCGTGTTATTTTCTTGACAGAAAGATTGAAGTGATGTAAGTGAGTAATTAGGGTCAGGTGAGACAGTGACGGTGCATCTGGCAGCACTCAGTAAAACAAACACACTTCGGATGGTGTTCATTACCTGCTGGGCACGTTTCAAAATACCCCGAGCTGAGGGCAGGCTTTGCCCTCAGCCACACCTGGAGCCCTTACCTCCAGAAATGCCCCCAAAGGCACCCCGCAGTGCCAGGGTGAGGGTGGCTGGAAGCACTGGGGCACTGCCATGCACCCGCCAGCTCCTCCTGAGGGCTTTGGGAAGGAGAGCTCAGCGATGCTGTGCGTGGGGACCGGCCGCTACAGCCCTCGGCAGTACCTAACCGCCTGTATAGGGTTAGAGGCAAGGGTGGGGAGAGCCTTTGTGGAGATGGAAGGACGTTCAATTAAACAAGCATTGCACCTGGATCCAGTTTAGAAGACAACAACAGGTAGTTAAGTGCCTTCCTTCCTTCCTTCCAAACGTAAGGCTTGCTTAAAGGTTATCCTTGTAGCTGTGGCACAGCATAACGTCTTTAGTTTGCTGCACGCTACTCATTTAGGGTACTTCGTTTACAGAGCTACCACAACATCCGTCCATCAGCAGCACAGAATTCTGCACAGCATCTTGGGCAATCTTAAAAATTAACAGTCTGTGCACTGTGATCCTTTTATGTACTGCCACAAACACCTGCAAAGTGCGCTGGCTTGACGGAAGCGCAGCTACCCACCTCGGCCGGTGGATATTAAATTTCCAGGCTGTCAAATAAGAGACTTGCAGGTCTAAGAACGAGGTGCCAAGAAAACTCCTCTTGGCAGGAAGAGATCAACACAACCCTGAGCGAGGAGAGATTGCAATGCCATCCGCCGCCTCGCTCTGCCCTGCCGCACACCCTCATTGCTCTCCTGACCTCCCCAATACAGTGCAGCCGCAACGTGCATCGCAATCATTCACTACAACCTGTAAGACGGAGCAGATCAGACATTTACATCTGTCCCATCCTCCCAGCTGTCTTCAGACAAAATCCTTGTGCCCAGGCACGTCTGTATGCCTTCAGCCAACGCTTGCTTGTCTCCCTCCTAGGAAGCAGGAGTCCACGATAGCAGAACCCCGATTATGGTAACAGGCCGGATTCACACAACAGAGCCACAGCTTCTCCCCCGTGGGTGACCCACACGCCTGGTGGGGATCTGGAAGGAAGGAGAGAACGTGGGAGGGTGCGAACAGAGCGGAGAAGACGTGCTGCACCAGACCTACTCGTGCTGGGCGAGACAGCCCTAACACCGCAGCGCTTCCCAAACCACGTGGAGGCCCCCTGCGCTGCACGGTGCCCACCACAGCTGACAGACCCTAATGCTGCCAGCACCACAAAGCAAGGTGTCTGAGAGGTCTGTTATCCTGAGAAAATTATCTGAAAAAGTTCTGCTTTGGGGATGGAGCCAGGGAACTGCCTGATGAGGAGACAACATCAGACCTCCATCTACAAACTGCTGCACGAAGGAATGATTTTTATGCCGTTACGAGCAGAAAAGCGATTGGAACTGGAGGCACTCCATGCAGTGGGGGGCTTCGATTCAAGCAGGCAAGGGAGTCACCTTGTCTCCTCCTTTCCCTGGTCCTGATGTGTGATTCAAACCTGACTGTGCTGTGGGAAACAACTCTGAGCCTGCAAACAGTGATTCACTCTTACTGAGGCTGAAGCAATTCCTGAAGAACAAAGCTGGGATTATGAACCGCCAGATAACAAATTTCTCCTTGACTGTCACACCTGGCAAGCCTTAGAGCTCTATCAAACACCTCTGAAATGCCACCCTAAGCAGTCTCTCTCTCGTTATGAACTCCACCAGTTGCAGAAAGGCTCCCCCAATACTCCCCAGTCTTTTTGCAGACCCCTTCCAGTGCGCTGTCTAAGAGGAGCTGGAGAAATGTGTTGCTATTTAGTCCGTACCTTCTCTTCGCCCTGACTGGCAACGTTTCAGAAACACCGAGAGAAAAAAGAAACTCAAGGCTGTTGTTGACCTCTCTGGGCAAGGCAAATTTCTGCTGTGCTTGGCAGAACTGTGGAAAGAAAGTGAGGAGCGTCCCAGATTAGCTGTCCAGTCTTCTCCATTCCTTGCTATGTTCCTTGTTCCATGAGTTAAACCTCTCCACCCCTAGAAAGGGACCCTTCATTGCAACTCCCATCACAAGGCTAAAAAACACATCCATATTCAAGTCAGAAAGTTCCAGCAGATAAATATCCCATGGTGGAAAACATTAAAACTGCTTCTAATAGGCCCAAATTAGTCCACACCCATTTCTCCCCATCCCCCCACATCCCTCCTGACACTTCAACTTTAAATTTGAAATCTTTGTTCAAATTGTACATTTATCTTACCAGGCTTCCGTGGCCAAACACCTGATTATTGGTGGCTTCTGAACAGGAGGAAATAAAAGCATACATTTGTGCCTTGGCCAAGATGAGTACTCTGCAGACAGAAGGCTCTGTGTTCTTTCATTTCCTTGGCAGGACTAACAACCTTGGCCATTTTAGGGGAGGCTACTGTATTAGCAGGAAAAAAAAAAAAAAATCCCACAAAAAAAAACAACCCAGCAACAACAAAAAAGGTTTAAGAATGGTCTGGTGTATTTGCAGTAAGCCAGAACACACTGGCTAGACCAAAAAAAAAAAAAAAAGCTAGAAAAAAAAGCACACTGGTTACAAAAAAATGTGGAGAAGGCAAAAGGATCAGGACACATACCAAAAAAAAAAAAATGATGAAGGAAAGAGCGAATAACTCTGAACGCTCAATAACACTGAACAACAGTTTGAGACCGCACAACCGACTGCAGCAGCAGAGCTGTTGATCGATTTGCCTCTTGGATAGCCCCCAAGCTGAAAGCCCCAGTTCCACATCACCACCAGGAGCCAGTCTCTTCTGCACTCCTACATCCTTCAGCCACTGATGAACGAATGGACGAACACGAGAGATAGTGGATAGAAGTTGGCTCCTCTGGCTTAAAGCTCCTGGATTTCTGCACAGAATTTCTGCTCGTGCACCAAGCCCTGTGCTCACTGAACTTACTGCTCAGGCATCGATCCTTGTGCCAGCACGTCTGGAAAGAAGCAGACTTGCTGGGGATTCACAATGGATTTGATCTACTCAGAGGCAGTAAATCTAGCGAACCAGATGATGCGGGTCGCCTCTGCTACGTGTGCTAGACCAATGAACTGCAGATAGGCAGTAGATGCTCCTGGATATTCCACAGGCCAAACCTAGCCACTGCTTTGGCCAAGCTGCCACGCATCTAAAAATCCTGGATGAGCACAGCGGAGTTGAAAGAGCTGGCGAGAATTCTTTGCCAACAGATGGAAACTCAAATTTTATTTAGCCTTGTCATCTTTCATGTTATGCTGTCGTCTCTGTTTGGGGTGGGCTGCATGGAAACAGAAGTTAAGTCCTGTTCATTTCTGTTGGAGTTGTCACTTGTAGTATTCTAATAAATAATTTGATTTCTTTAGGAAACATTAAGCTCCCTGTGCCTGGAGGCACCTTATACTTCACGCTCTTGCTTCAAGTACAGAGGATGTTCCAGCAGTGAACGGATTCTTAGCAGCAGAGCTCATGAAAGCGGTTGCTCTTCTTGCAGACAGAGCAGCAGTGCAACATGGCCACATAGGTCTTGCCATCCCACTTGCTGCTTGGCCCATCTACAACCGCAAATCCAACCCAAGAGAAACTTGTAACAGTGAATTCATCTTTCCAGCAAGTGTTCTCTAAAATGAATATTCATGAAAAGGCTCCCTTCCTCTGAGCCTGAACATCCTTCAAGTGTTTTCCTGAAACACTGAAGGCTTAAGTTCCACGAGTCACCTTGCACCTCATCTTTGCATCAGCCTAGAGAATCACTGAACTTAGCTCTCACCTCATTTAAGCCCCATCTAATTATGAAATTTAACTACAGTCAAACAGCAGTTTTGCTGCATATGCAACTCCCGTTATATTTTGATGTGGGGAGACAGGAAGAAAAACTTTATTTTTTTTAAACATTCAAGCATTTATACGGGACTTGAGTGATGTGTAAAAGATCGAGTCCTCTCCAATACATTT